CAGTGTCAGGAATCAGAGCAGCCGGCCAGCAGCTGCTTTCTGACCCCCCACCACCGGAGCAGTAAAACTTTCGCCCTGACAGGCAGGTAGTGATGGATGGGGTGAAATTAACCAGGCACAGACGCGTGTTGGTTACAGGAGATTGTTTACTTACATCGCCCAGATAGTGACGTGCGATGCAGGCTGAGCCTTTGTTCCTGTTACAGTAGCTTCGGTTATAGTTGAGCGAATAAGGTCAGGTTACGATATCAAGCGATGACGAACGAAGCGCGCCGAGAATGGACTATCGAGCCTGCAGGGCTTTACTACGTCAAAATTAACGATGACGGGGAGTATTGACAGCTGATCAGACCGTCAATCTACTCTGGTGATGGACTCAGGTCTCTCCTCAGAGGTTTCTCCGGGGTTCTCCGACTTGGGCGGAAACTGGTAAACTATTTATAGACAGAGGTGTCTGACAGAGATACCCAATGATGAACCATTATGTGGAATCTTTAATTTTCTGGCAAGCAGCAGTTCTTTGTGCTCTCAGGTTGTTATCAGGTTACAAGGTAGTGGGTTAGGTTTTCTGCCTGTTACGTATGAGGTTATGATGAGAGGCTTACGCTTGTTTCTTGACCAATTGCAGGGATTTATGGCAGGGTTATCCCCTTTCACCTTGACCAGTCTTAAGTTTCCTTTCTTGTTTGTGACGTGGGCATAAATTATATACAGCTCTCCGCCAGGATTTTGTTTCAGGAGTTTCTAGCAAGAATTTCTTTTTAACCCTTAGTTGACTACTTGAATGGTATCTCTTGCTAGTGGCATGGGCACTGATTAACTGGGTTGTGACACACAGTATGGATAAGCTTTGGCAGACTCTCTCTATGATGTCCTCAGTTTGGGCTCCAGGCAGGCAGCATACCTCCTGGGCCCCCAAAACTGTATAACAGATTGGTGCCTTTGTCCCCTGCAGAAGGGAGTCACCAACCACCTTTGCTTCCTTCTTGGTGCAGCAGTCCTGGAACCCGTGTCCTTGGGGTCTTGACTTGCTGCTCTCTAGACTGCTGCTTCCTCTGCCTCATGCCTGCAGATATCCTCTCCTCTGCTTCTTCCTCAGCAGTTCCACCAATGGCTCCTCCTCAGTTCACTCCTCTTCAATTCTGGGAGCCCTCCTTTGAGTAACCACATGCTTCTCTTCATTGCCCTTCGGCCACTCCAGTACCAGCCTGTCATAACTCTTGTCCAAGTAATCTTCCTGGTCCTGGATACAATGCAGCATGGATATCTGTGCTTCCTATCTTCTTGAATCTTCTCCTCGAAGGCAGACACCTGCTTACACTTGATGCAGATGAAGTACTTCTGACCCTTTGAGAGGAACATGAACATGGCATATCCCACATGAACATGGCATATCCCACATAGTTCGTAATAGCTGACCCACACTCCATGTGTGCCTCCTTTGGGGGATCCCTGCAAGAGATAGTTTTGGGCCCCCTGCTCCAAAGAAGCCAGTGGTGGTGGTAGCGGGAGGGGGGAGGGAGGTGACGAACATCCGGACATGAAGCTAGTGGCAGTGAGCGGCCGGACACAGGGGCATAGGCGGAGGAAGAAAACAAAATTTGTGGGGGCTGGGCATGTGTGCATGCATGTGTGCACAAATGCCCCCACTATGGGAAAGTCTGAGGGGAGAAGGGGGAGGGGAAAAGGGGGGAGTGGCATTGCCCAGTGCTGCGCTGCCCAGGCCACCTCCCAGCCCCATCCCCAGCCCCTGGCCATGCCATCCCTGGATGCCGCACTGTCTACAGCTGCCTCCTGGCTCTGGCTGCACCAGTCCCAACCCTGGTTGCAGGTTTCACAGTATAGGACAGGCCAGCCCTGCCTATGCTACAAGGATAAAAAAAGAGGGGGATAGGGGGGAAGAGGGAAAAAACCAAACACCACAAGAACCTACACACCAAGCACATGCACGAGGGCCCTTGCCCATGCTCCCACCCACACACGCATGCATACACATGCATGGAGTGTACTGCTCCCTGGTTCCCTCCTGGGTGGACTTGCTAGGTAAAACCCTTCTCTGTTTGCTGCCCTCTGTTTGCTGCTCCCATGGTTCACTAAGGGCTGCCTTTTTATAAGGCTGCCTATTAGAGCTGTGCAAAGCTTTCCCGGCTGTTTTGTTTCAATGCTGTTTCGACTCATTTTGAGCTCGAAACAGCGAAATCAAAACTAAACAAAAGGCTTTGAAACAGCCTCGAAATGAACCAAGGCCAGTTGAAAAGTTTTGAAAGTTTCAAAACACATTTAATTTTGAAGCAGCCAGCCAGGTTGGGGGCAGCGGCAGGCAGGGGAGAGCCAGGGCTGTGCTCTGAGTGGCTCCACCAGCCCCATGAAGCTCAGCCTGGTGGCAGAAGGCAGGCAGAGCCAATGCTGCGCTCTGCCTCCTGCCACCGGGCTGAGTTCTACAGGGCTGCAAGCCGCTGGGAGCTGAGCCCAGTGGCAGGGGGGGGCTTGC